AGTACAGTCTAAAGAACAGCTGCAGAAGCTGTGTAGACTATGGTGTTTCCCTCACCTGTTTCTTTCCTTATTCCTACAGCATCTCCAAGCCAGTGAATTCCGTAGGTTCGGGTTGTATCCTTCTTCACCTTTTCATCCCTGATCGGCCTATCCCCAGTTGCTTGAACTTAAAAAGATACCCATACATATGGCCTGTTTAATAAGTTAGGCCTCTAAACAGAATTTCTCAGATAGGGCATTATACCCATAGTTATTGAAAAAATAAAACATATTCATCGAAACATACAGGTAAAGAGAGGTGTATTATTATTACTTTCAGCATAAGTGATTCGTGTACAAGCCATTACTGCTAACATGTCTTTCATTTACAGAAGAAACGAACAAAAGAAATCCAGGAAAATTAAAAAATGTATTAATGTTCGAAACTTTGTTTTGTTTAATTAGAATCTTGTTTATTTTAGTGCATGTGTGTGTGGTGGCGGAGGAAGCTAGGTGTTATAGGCTCAGTGAGTGTCGCAGGAGCCAAGCTCATACCAGTTTTGGCAAAGAGGCAACTGTGCACATTCTCTTCCTAAAAGTCTGACTTCTGTGACGCGTGACCTCATATTGGTAGTCTGGAATAAGCTACAGTGGGGGTATTTATTCTACAGAAATTGGCAAACACTATAAATTAGGGCAGAAATCTGACTGCTAAATATTTACCACATTCACCAGCACACCCCTGGAATTTAAATGGGCAATAAATGAATTTAACCATACGGTGCTTCACTTGTAAAGAAAAATGTGAAGTTGGTCCTAGGAGTTGAGTTAAATTTGCTCTGTAGGAACATTTCTTACCCTGAAATTTAATAGTACATCTTTTAGAGTTATCAATGAAAAAAAAAAATCTTAAGACCCTGTCCTAGATTTGCTACTCACAATATGGCTTATAGAATGCTTAATTCAAGAAGTATTAGCTTACATACTATGCACCAGGCATTGTGGAGGTTGTTGGGGTACAAAGATGAACAAGGCAAAATCCTTACAAAACAAATTCCTCCAAAGTCATGATGACCATTTCCTCTCTTTTCTGTGCAATTGCAACAGTCAAACTATTTTATTTGGGAAGGTGAGGGAGAGGCAAAATTGGGTCTATTTTTCCCAGAATATTCCTGTATAAGTCCAAACTTGTCGATTTCAACTGAATATCACAAAAAAAGCATTATTGGCACTGCTCCAGCATGCATTCAATGTTATATTCATTCAGATGTACATTTTAGAAGCAATTGTAGAAGTCCTTCAGGCAAGAACCATCAGAGACATTTATTTTCCTGTCCTTTTGTCCAATAAAGGAAATCTCTGTCAAAGACTTAACCTAATGGAGGATTAATTTATGTGTTTATTCTCCATTTTCTGCTCTTGTTAATGATAAATAAGTGATTTTTTAAGCAAAGCTTTAAGTAAATTCATCCAGATGTGATTTAGACTTCTCTGAAAATTACCTGGAAATCAGCAGTATTTATTATCCTGCAACCTCCTAAAGCAAATAGTTCAGAGACAACTAACGCTTTGTTGCTCAATATGTTGGGGTTGAAAGATAAATTAATTGGCACAGGCAGCCATCTAAGAAGTAATTCATGTTGCCCCAGGTAATTTCTCTTCCTTGCTTCTATAGAACCTCCTTTTAATGCCCTCTGATGATTGAAACGACGGGGATTATAAAGAAATCCTCCTTGTTTGATGAAGCTTGGGGAAGGGAAATCTACCTTCCCACCCAGAAAACTTAACCTTATGCCTCTCCTTTCCTATCTCTAACATTGTTGGTAAATATTTAGTCATTTTAATGTGCAGTCTTCTGAGAGGCAGTATGAAATAGGGGAACAATAGTTCTAAACTCATAGGATTGTTTGTGAGGATTAAAGGTGTTATTATATGGAAAACAGTTACTATGTTGCTTGGGGACACGGTGATCAAACTCTTTTTTAAGGGTTTGTATTCACTGCTTTCTGTCCTATTCTAGTCCCTGCTGTATTTCAGACACCCAACTTTGTGCTTGACCATGGCATTCAGTATATACTGTGGAAGGACCAGAAATTTTCTATTTACATTAGTAAAATTGCAGTGGTTACTAGACAGCAAATTGTATTTAAGTATGTTAAAAAATAATTTTCCCTAGCTTTCTCCTTGGCTTAATGCTATAGAATCATAATTTCAAATATATGTATATGTATATTTGTTCTAGCAGTATTTCTCAATTTCAGTAAACTTATTTTATAGAAACTTAAACCTGAAGCTTCGATAGTTTAGGATGCTGGTTTAATTACTATTGCTTCTGCAATATTCATGCAAAACAGAATTTAGTTTTATGAAGTCATCTTCCTGTTACGATGTATTGAGTAAAATTAATATCTAATCATTTAAAAATGATTCTGCAACTGACTTTTTGTAAAAAGCAATCTGATATGAAATGCCCCTCTTTAAAGTGGCAGATGCCTATAACCAAATCCAAGACTGCAAGTCCACCAGAACGAGGGAGGGTGACTGAAGCAGCCTCTCAGATGGGGTTGGGGGAGTCCCAAGTGTTGTTTACTGGGACACAAGCACATAATAGCTTTCATCTTGTCAATGGTACATATGCTCGCTCTTCCCTTTTTTTGCTTTCTTTCTACATGAATAATTTGTTAGAATCAGAGCTATTGTTTTGTGTTATATAATAGATATAAGACGATATTTTTTCATTTCATCAGTTTATTTCATGTGTGTGCATTTTAAATAAAATTTTAAATATATATATATATATATATATATATGTAGCAGATGATGCTTTGACTGCAGTGAAGATTGACTGACTGGGTCAGATCAGGCCCACCGCAGTCACTCTTTCCAAGGGGGCATAAAGGTCACCATTCTCCTGTTGTCCTCTGTGTAAGGGGTGAAAAATGCGGATGTGAATGAGCTGCAGGAGATCGCCTCCGAACCGGACAGCACTCATGTGTACAATGTTGCCGAATTCGACCTGATGCACACAGTTGTGGAGAGTCTGACCAGGACTGTCTGCTCTAGAGTGGAAGAACAGGACAGAGAAATTAAAGGTAAAATGAGTGACAGAGCAGTCCTGTGGATGTCAGTATTACGGTGCACAAGCCTATCGTGAATTGGGAAAATTCTTTTCATTTTCCATGTTGGCTTTCTGAAGACCCCCTACTCCCCTAAGACCCGAGCCGTCAGAGTAGAAAAGGGAGTATATTAGCAGGCTTTGTGGAGGTGAAGGAGAGACTCTTTAAACACAAGATGATTTTCTCCATAATGTAACGTTTACTTTTATTTAAAAATTAAACTTTTTAATTTTAAGATAATTATGTATTCAAATACAGTTTGTAAGAAATAATACATGGAAAGATTGTGTGTTCTTTACTCGCTTCTCCAATGGCAAAATCTTGTAAAGCTAATTGCATTACTACAAGCAGAATGCTTGCCATTGATACAGGCAAGATGCAGCACGTTTCCACCACAAGGATCATTCCTGTTCCCTTTTATAGCCACCCTCACTTATATCCCTCTCCCTCTCTCTATAATCCCAGACAACCACTACTCCAGCTCCAATATTTTTCATGTCAAAAATATTATGTGAATGGAGGTATGTGGTATGTAACCTTTGGGGATTGGCTTTTTTCATGCAGGAGAATTCCCTGGAGATTCATCCAAGTTGTTGCACGTGTCAACAGCGCTTTCTTTTTAATTTGAGTGTCAGATTCCATGATGTGGATGTGCCACAGTTTGTTTAACCACTCACACATCGAGGGGCTCCTGGGTTGCTTTCAGCCTTTGGCTATGATGAATCAAGCTGCTGTGAATGTTCATGTAGAGGTTCTTGTGCAAACATAAGTTTTCATTTCTCTGGGATAATGCCCAGTAGTACAATGGCTGGATCATATCCCAGTTGCATGTTTTGTTTAGTTTGGTTTTCATTAAGAGTGGCCTCCTTGCTACTGGACAGTGGTGAAAGTCCTGACTCACTGCTAGGTCTCCTCTGACACCATCACAGAGTGAGGGGGAATGGTGCCTTATTACTCCCAGGTGGGGTTGAGGGTACAGGCAGGCTCTTCATGTGGTCTCCCTTGATATCACAGATAGGATTGTAGGGGAAAAGATTCATTACCCTCTGCTGGGGACGAATATCTCTTCTCTGCTTGACCTCTCACACCACCCTAGCTGGCATGAGGGGCTTGGGGTGGATATTAGGGCACCCTATTACAGCCAAGAAAGGCTGGAAATTTTGGCTTCCCACTAGGCCTTTGCTGGCATGGGTAGAGGTGTGGCCACAGTTTTTTTCTGTGTTGATTATCTGCAGTAGAACAGTTATTGCCAAAAATGTTTAAAAAGTTTCAGTCTTGGTAGGCTGGCCATTTCCTGGTCCTTTGCTAGAGGGAGAAGATTTTGTTAGCAATTTTTAGTCTGTATCTGTTGGTGTTTCTAGGTTGCCAGATACTTTAGCTCCGTGTGTGGGATATATGAGTAAAAGGAAGTGGGAGCTCACTGCTGGGAGCTCCTGAGCCCTGTAGTTCTGCACTCATTGACCTTCTTCTCTCTACTTTTCAGCGTCTTCTTATGCTTGTCTTTGATATAATTTCCAGAGTTTTTAGTTATACTCAGCAAAAGGAATAGAGTAAAGCACAGCTCTTCTCTTTCTTGGAGCAAATCCATCATAGATTTTTAAGCCTTGCCCCTCACAATCTCACTGGTCTGCAGGTTGCGCTTGCCTTATAGAGTTGTAATCTGAGAAGAGGGTAATATCCAAGTCTTCTTTTAAGAGTCTGGTTTTATTTGCTGCCTCTGTTGTAACCAGCGTGAAATGGTTCTTTCTGGCTACATGTCCTTCTCTCTGTCATCATTCCCCTTTCCCCAGGCTAGATCTCATGGGGCTGGGCTGGGCATCCAAGCAGTATGATCCTGAACACATTTCTCTGAGCTTCAAAGTGAAGCTACTTTAGAGCTCAGTTTTTCCAAAATAGTCTACATGTGGTTGATGATACAGCATGTAATAAAGTTCCTGGCCATAGTTTGTGTTCAAAACAGTATTTTAAAAATTGAGATTATTAAAGTCCCTTTGAGTGAGTGCCCTTAAAGTGTGAGAAATTCTAAAGTTTAACCTTGTTATTATCATTTACATATTGTATCCCCCCTCCACTTAGATTTTGCATGTCCCAAATTTTTATAGAATCATTTGCTTTAACATGTGTAACACATACGAAAAAATGCTTATGTAGTGTTGAGCTCATAGTGGGCATTTAATATATGTTAGTTGCTTTTTCTTCTTTCACATTTTTAGATATTAGTCACTTGTTGAACTGAAATTTTTACTATAGAGCTTGTGTTCTCTGATGCTTAAAAACACAGACTCTTGTGTCAAGCCCAGATATCAATGTCAACTCTGATACTAATTGTGAGACCTTGGTCATGTTAGCTAACTTCATTGTGCCTTGATTTTCTCACAGACGAAGTGTGAACAGTAATAGGAACTAGGGAGAAGTAGATGAGATTAAAAAAAAAAACTTCTAAAGACTCTGAAGAGAAACTTTCAATACACACATGCTTAGTTCATGTTTGTTTGTGTGTTTGTTTGGAGGCAGAGTCTCGCTCTATTCCCCAGGCTGGAGTGCAGTGGCACGATCTCGGCTCACTGCAGCCTCCGCCTCCTGGTTCAAGCGATTCTTGTGCCTTAGGCTTCTGAGTAGCTGGGATTACAGGCACCTGCCACCATCCCCAGCTAATTTTTGAATTTTTAGTAGAGATGGGGTTTTGCCATGTTGGCCAGGCTAGTCTCGAACTCCTGATCTGACCTCAGGTGATCCACCCACCTTAGCCTCCCAAAGTGTTGGGATTACAGGCATGAGCTACCATGCCCAGCTGTTAATGTTTGTTTTTATTATTTATTAACAATGACCTTAATTTGAGAAAGTTCTCTAGAGTCAAGAACTACATCTTATTTAAGTTTGGTATCCTCAGAACTTAGCGTAGTACCTGGCACCTAATAGACATTTAAATGTTTGAATGAACAAATGGATAACTGAATCAACTTATCTAAAGAGGAAAATCTTAGAGGCAGCATAAAATCAGTATTTATTTCTGTCTAATGAGATGTCTTAGCTTCATAAGAAATAACTTTGGGTAAGAGGTTTATTTGATGTGTTTCTTTAATTTAGCCTCAGCCCATGCCATCACTGGGCCGCCTACAGAGTTGATTACTTCTGAAGTCACTGCCAGAAGCTTTATGGTTAACTGGACTCATGCCCCAGGAAATGTGGAAAAATACAGAGTTGTGTATTATCCTACCAGGGGTGGAAAACCAGACGAGGTAATAAGGAGACAGTATTTTCAACCATCCTTTTTATTCTCTCAAGTCTTCTACAGTAGTGAGAACAAGGCAGAAATTTATGTGTAAGATTATTCCGTCGCAGACATTTTAAAGAATTTGACTGAAATGCATTTCCACTTGTTCATATTGTTCTCCCATATCTCTGAGTTATGGCAATTACATCTTTCATCTCTCCAAATAACGCTCAGAACTGGTCATGTATGACTTTCTAACACAATGTATTTTTCTTCTTCAAATTAGTAAGTTCTAAAGTAAAAGGTATCAGTAGCTAATTACCTGGCCAGGACCCCTTTGGCTATTTGTGCATTTTTTCTGCTTGGGAGTGATCTGAGCTTTCTGCCTCAGTGAAGTCTGTGCATTCCAAAGTACGCGGTCATATACGGACTAGTCCTCCAAGCCTTGGAGTTTCCTGGACATTTGTAGGGATGAGTGCAATGGAAAAGCCATAATAAAGCAGCTGTGGCCAGCATTTTTTATGGCTTGGTAACACAGGCGAGAACACCTATTGCCAGATGATTGGATCCTTCCCATTTCCTACCTTTGATACCACAATTCACAAGGAATATGTTAAAACACAATGAAATTCTTTTTTCTTTTTCTTTTTGTTGTTCTAACCTCTGACTGACCTCAGCATATTTCACAATATTCTGTGTTATGGTAGGATTTATGATATTTTTTAAGCTTTAGAGAAGTAGATTGTGGAGTCTTAAATCATTTGGACCAAAAAAAAAAAAAAAAAGGAGAGAGATCTGAGTGCTTCCAATGATTCTTTTATTTTTCATGACTAATAAATCTTTTAAATGCTTCCCAAAGCTCTCTGGAAAAATATCATGTTTATTGTTATTAAGTGGATGTAAATAGGATAATAATTGGCCTGGTATCAACACAATTATTTCTATTAGATATGAATTAACAAGGGACTTCTGGACACATTCCATAAAAGGTGCATCACTTCATGTAAGCATTCAAAGAGCGTTTGACTGCCACAGTGGAAAGGAGGATGTGGCACAAACAAGAAAATATTCAATGAAATATTCTTGCTGGAGATATTTTCGCTTTTTGATTTCAATTCTGTGTGTAAGATATTCCATGCTCTCATTACTCAAACTGTTCTTTAAACAGGTGGTGGTAGATGGAAGTGTATCTTCCACAGTGTTGAAAAACTTGATGTCTTTAACTGAATATCAGATAGCAGTCTTTGCAATCTATGCCCACACTGCTAGTGAAGGCCTACGGGGAACTGAAACTACACGTATGTATTTAATTCTACCCCACTTCTAACTTGGTGGAGTGCTGCTTAGGGGGCCTTTCTTAAATTGAAATTCTGCTCAGGTCGTGTTGGTAGACATCCTGAATCAAATTCAATCAAATTCATAGAAGACATTTGTCGTGCTATATGTGATATTTGTCCATGCTAGAGCTGTAGTCTTGCAGGTGCTATGTCTTGAAAAAGTTGTTATAAATCTCTGATAGGTTTAAGAGCAATCTTGGTGGTGAAGAGTACAAAAACATTCATTCATTTATTAAATAAGTATTTAATAAATGCCTACTATGAACCAAGAATTGTCCTTGAATTTGTCAGTAGAAGTAGAGAAAAAACTCCATAGCTCTCCTGCCCAGTAGAATGCCAAGGCAATTATGTTACTGCTATCTTCATTGTTCATATCATTGTAGGTAAAACAAGCTTCTGAATACTAATAATTCCCTTCCTGGGTAGGATCATAGTAACACACAATGACAACATACACACATAATACACACACACACACACACACACACACGCACATGCACATGCACACAGAATCATGAGAAGAGATAATCTTTTTAAAAAGATCGAACATCTTGTAGTCATTTCTAATATTAACTGAGTTCCTATTACATGCGAGGCACTATGCAAAACTGCTCTAAAAAATCTGCCTCTGATAGAACAATAACAGGGTAAACAACACTAATCACAATGCGCCACGCACTGTGATCATCATTTTCTGAAATCTGTTGGATTTATCCCTGGCAACAATCTGTCAGATAAGTGTTAATGCCCTCACTTTGCAGAAATATTTTAGTGACAGTCCTTATTCTCAAGGATGTTTTAGTGAGCCTGGGCAACATGGCGAAACCCGGTCTCTACAAAAAATACAAAAATTAGCCGAGCATGGTGGCACGCCACTGTGGTCCCAGTTACTTGTGAGGCTGAGGTGGGAGGATTGCTTGAGCCCAGGAGGTGGAGGTTGCAGCCAAGATTGCACAACTGCACTCCAGCCTGGATGACAGAGGAATAACAGGTCTCAAAAAAAAAAAAATAAAAGTAAAAGGATGTTTTAGTGTAGTAGGGGGTGGGAACGCAAACCAAGGATGTGCAAGCAGATTAGTGCAATGAAAGACTGTAAGCACTCTCATAGATCTGTGTACAAGGAGCTGGAAATGTCAGCAAAGTCCTGAACTTGACATTGTGGTTAGAAGAGTAGGCAGGGCCACATTAGGGAGGGTCTAGAACCATATTTGAAAACAACAATGTTTCCTGTTTTTCATCAGCATTGTTTAACGCAGGAGCTTGCAATTTATTCTTAACCCCTTTCTCCCTTCTTATGGTCAATCTTATTTCTTGATAATTTCATTTTTCTCAAGGACACATATGTAAGTGGCTCAACATTAAAAAAAAAAAAAAATCTCTTGCAGTTGCTTTACCCATGGCTTCTGACCTTCTACTGTATGATGTGACTGAGAGCAGCATGCGAGTCAAATGGGATGCAGTACCTGGGGCCTCAGGTTACCTGATCCTTTATGCTCCCCTAACAGAGGACCTGGCTGGGGATGAAAAAGAGGTAACCACCTGCTACCTACTACAGTCCTAGAATCTTTTATTTCCTTAAATAAAATAAAATTTTTATTGTAAAAATTTAATGTAGAAAATTCAGATTAGCCAAAAGAAAAAAAAAACACGTATAATCCCACTACTGAGAGATAGCCGTTGTTAACAGTCTTTGTCAATGCATTTTAAAAGCAACAAATGGAAGTGGTTTTGTAGCCTGCTGTTTTCATTTTATTTATTGTGAATCTCGTTCCATGTCATTAAAGAAAATTTTACGAAGTCATTGTATACACCCATAGTATTCTACTGTTGGTTTGAACAGGTCATGTTTAATTAATCTATGATTTTGGATATTTAGATAGCTTGCTATATAAACAATGCTTTTGTGAATATTCCTAACATACATCTTTGCATAATTGTTTATTTCCCTAGGATAAATTCCTAGAAATAGAGTTTGTTTTTCAAAGGGTAGGCAAATTATTAAAGTTTACATTCAGTATTGCCAAATAACTCTAGAGGAATGTTATATATTTTGCTTTATGTGGTGCATTAGTGACTATTTTCTCTGTATGCACTGAATTAAGTTTTTTCTTACTAATTTGAGAGGTAGATAGACATACCTCGTTGGTGCAAATTTTTGAATTTATTCCATTTTAAATGATGAACCTTTGACCTTCAAATGACTTTCAAACATTTTAGTACTCATTTTTAATTTATAGGGGACAATAGCTATAATGCAGACATGTAAGGAATGAAGAGGATGAATCTGACACTTGGAAGTGTAATGACCAGGCAGGGGCATTTAATAAGCAAAGCAGTTCAGAGAACTTGGTTGTCTAAAATTGTGTAAAACCTGTCTCTGACGACAGAAATCTTTAGGATCGAAAAAATGGTGAATCTGAGTGTCAAGAATAGAGTATTGGTGACATGTGTCTTTTTATTTCCAAGGCTTAGACGGCTTTTGCCTATTTGAATTTAAAGTTGATCTGAATTATTTTGACAAAAGAGAGACTTACAAATGGTGCTGAGAAGATGCTCAGCCTCACTATGAAAGAGAAAAAGAATTAAAGGAATAGTAGTTTATAACCAATAGATTAGTAAAAAAAATTTAAAGTCTGATAATACTGTGTATTCATGAGCACGCAGGAAAAGAATCACTCCTGTAACTGCTGGCGGGCATGTAGTTTGGTACAGCTGCTTCGGAGGATATTTTGAAATATTTCATCCTGTTGAAGATATATACTATTTTTTGGAAATGTATCATAGGGAAACATCTTGCAGGCATTTTTCAATGCAGGCACTTGGTTGGAATAAGACATTGCAAACAACTAAAATGCCTATTAATAGAGGAATGGAAAATAGTGATATATTTATAGAAAAGAATACCATAAAGGAATTAATGATGTCAACTCTGTCCTTGTGTATCAACATGGATAAATCTCAAAATGTAATATTAACACAGAAAAAAATAGCAAGCTGCAAAAAGATTGTGTTGATATGATCCCATTATGTGTGTTGTTAAACATACAGAATCATATATTGTTTATAGATATATCTATATACATACAGAAGTACAAAAATGCAGCAGTAAGATATACATCAGCCTCAGGGTGGAGGTGGTGAACAGAAAGAATGAGAAAGACCTTTTATCTGTATATATTAATTTTTTAAAAAATAAAATCTGAAGTTGATATGACAAAGATTTGATATTTATCCAAGTTGAGTAGTGGGTACATCAGTGTGTATTATATTATTTTCTGTGGGTTTATGTTATATATGTTGAGCTAGTTCAAAATTCAAAATTTTAATTTGATGATTAGCCCTGGCAGTCATGTGCCTGTAGACTGTCTATGGAGATTTTTTTTTTCCTTCCAAAACATAAAACTATCCCATCACTCTATTGTCACACAACTGAGAATGTTGGATAGTTTGACTGAATCCAAGGGTCAGAAAACGTGTTCAAGAATCAAAAAAGCAAATTGCCAAGTTGGGTGTCAAGGTGATTTGATCTCTTCTGAATACTGGAAGTAACTTGCAATTCAACTGCGTGGATTCTGTTGTTGAATGGGGCCGCAAAACTGGCCCAGTTTCATTGAGTTTGAAGCAAAAACTGGGCATGTGGCCAGAGCACTGGTTAGAATTAGCCAAATAGTGAAAGGTGTCCACTTGGCCTTGCCTCCAGCACACTGGCCTGGAGCTCACAGTCTCTAGAGAACATTCCTGATTCAATCTCACCCACCCTCTCCTGGGGAGCGTATACTCAACATTGTTATTCTGGCTGGAGTTGCCATTTGTCCAGATGTAAAGAGTTATCCTAACACAGTTCACATGGTACTTTTAGACTTATATGGTTCCATAATATCTGTTCCTAATATAAAATGACACGAGACAATTTAAAAGTTATGACTGAAGCCTGTTTGATGGAGGGGTTGTGAGGGGATGTAAAGTCTTATCCTATGAAGTCTCACCTTTGTTCTGTTCGACTCCGATCAGCATGAATAATATGTATTGGCAAACGATCTAACAACATGTGTTCTTTTCAGATGAAAATTGGAGAGACCCACACGGATATTGAATTGAGTGGGTTGTTGCCCAATACAGAATACACAGTCACAGTTTATGCCATGTTTGGAGAAGAGGCCAGCGATCCTGTTACAGGACAAGAAACAACATGTGAGCAGCACAGCCATTCAGTTGGGATGCTGTAGTAAAAGCCAGCATGAATGTGGGGATTCTGAATTGGAACTACTAGTTTAGGTTGAAACCTCTTAAAAGCTAATTGTAATTTTAAAAATCTCATATTCTATTTAGGGCAGGGAAATGTATTTTTTATATATTGTATTATTATAAATGATATGGTTGCCAGAACCAAACTTTAGCATCCTCTAGATAATTCCACCTGTGTCTTTCTTTGTCTAAATTCAAATGCAGGTCAGAATATAGAGGGAAGGGTGTGGGCTTTGCAAGATAGCAGTTGAGATGGGAATCTCAGCTCAACTCATATTTTAGCTAGGTGACAATGGGTGAGTGATAAAACTTTTTTGGTTGTATAAATGGAGGAGCAATAATTTTACAGCATGTAGTTGATATAAGATTAAATACAGTAGTATATATGAAAACACTCAGCACATAGTTACTGAATATCTCTTTATTTTCCACTCATATCGAAATTAACAAACGTTTTTCCCTAAAAATCTTTGCTGTATTTATCTGAGCCTATTACTATTGTAAATCGTTTTCAATTGAGTAAAAATTTTATTGGTAAGGCTAATTTTCGCTAGATGTAGGGAATTCCTAGTACTTTTTGGGAAATGTATGCATTTATTTAAAAAATATGATATAAACAAAATATTACTATGGCATTCTAATAATACCACATACTATTAACATATGGCTCTATTCATGATCTTTTGAAACATAAGAAAGTGCAGAGAGACTTGAGGTCTTGCTCACCACTCTTCTCCTGGACTTGGGAGGAGACGAATAGCACAATTTCTACAATGCCTTTCTCGTTAAGATTCCATTTGGGAAAACAAAATAGAAGTTTAATGATAAAGAAGTTTGCACACATCCATTCTGTGTTAGTCAAGGCTATGTTATTCTTGCTCTTCAGAGAAAGACCAATGTAATTAAAACAACAAAGAAACAAACAAAAGCTCTGGGAGAGCCCAAGAAAGAAAAAGAAAAGAAATGAATCATGCTAGAAAGCATCTACCACATAAGTGAATTCTGGGACTCTAACTATTTGAAAGAAAAGCTTTCCCCAACAGCCCATCTCTCTTTCACTCAGAGTGTTCACTTATTTATACTTATTAAAATATGTACAACTCCTTCCCATGATTAGCAAAAAGGTCCTGAAAAATGATATCCTAGATACTTGTTCCTGAGGCTGGCATTTTTATGTGCAAAGTAAATTAGACATTATTCCATTATATTGCCAAATGTAATGGAATTCCAGAAAAATTTAGAGCCAAATGTGCATACTACTTAATTATATTGCTTTTTTTTCTTTTCTACACTTCCTCTCTGGCACCTTAATTATTAAGCGAGTCACTAACTCCTACAAGATCTTTATTGTCAAAAATCAGTATGTATTGAATTAATGAAAGGACTGGGCTTTGAGGTTAGGAAACATGCTTCATGGCTATGGCTCGTAATTGTCATTATTTGTCTTCAAGTTTTTTGCTTTGTTGGCTCTGTCAGCATTGAGTTTGTGGGATGAGAGAGTGTGAGTAGTAGAGAGAAACAGTGAGAGAGGAGAAATTAGCATCCTGGTTAATATCATGGGCTCTGGAATCAGTTAATCAATTTCTTAGGTTAAATTCGAATTGCTCTTCTGTTCCTACTAACTGGGATGTTGGACAAGTTACTTCAATTTTGTGATCAATATAATGGGGATAATTGCAACTTTATCCTTGCATTCTAATGTAAGAATTTAATAAGTTAACATATGTTATGTGTCAGACTCATGAAAAACACTCAGTAAATGTTAACAATTATTTTTACAATAAGCCTGTAAAGAGCTCATGAAACTGTCAAAAATTATGGAAAATTTTTAATTTATTGAATTAGATAGCGGTCCTTAAAGAGGTTCAAAAAGCTATGGAATTGACAGTTAGGAATCTGGAGAAATACCAATACCTCTTTAAATAATTTTAAAGCAATAGTAAGATGTTTATTTTTATTTATCTCACAAAGCCACTGTGATTTATTCAGGTCAAATAATTACCCATTGATTCAATGAATGTTTATTGAGTACTCGCTATATTGGGAATAGATCTGAGAACAAAATGAAACCAAATTATCTAACCCCCTGAGATTACAATATACTGGGGGAGAGAGACAATAAACCAGAAATATACAGTGAAAAAAATAGAGCAGAAGAAGGAGACTGGTAGTATGGGGGTAGAAGAACTGTTTTACATAAGATGATCATAGAAAGCTTCATCGAGAGGGTGGCATATGGTCAGAAACCTGAAAGAAGCAAAGAAACCAGCTGTGCGGATATCTGGGGGAAGAGCCTTGAAGGCAAAGAGAAGGCAAGTGCAGTGGCCTATGAATGAGCATGCATGGCAGGTTCCAGTCACAGCTAGTGGCATGGAAAAGGCACGGAGTAGTAGGAGATGGAAGCAGTGAAATGGCAGCAGGCCAGTCATGTAGGGCCATAAAGACCACTCTAGGCTGGCTGCGGTGGCTCACACATGTAGTGCCAGCACTTTGGGAGGCCAAAACAGGCAGATCACCCGAGGTCGGGAGTTCAAGACCAGCCTGGCCAACATGGTGAAACCCCCGTCTCTACCAAAAATATAAAAACTAGCAAGGTGTGGTAACACACGCCTGTAATCCCATCTGCTCAGGAGGCTGCGGCATGAGAATCAGTTAAACCTGGGAGGTGGAGGTTGCAGTAAGAGATTGCACCACTGCACTCCAGCCTGGATGACAGAGTGGGAAAGGAATGGAAAGGAAAGAAAGGAAGGGAAGGGAGGGGAGGGGAGGGGAAGGGACGGGGAAAGGAAGAGAAGGGAGAAGGAAGGGAAGGGAAGGGAGAAGGAAGGAAGGAGAGAGAGGGGAGAGAGGGGAGAAAGAGAGAAAGAAAGAAAGAGAAAAGAGGGGAGGGGAAGGGACGGGGAAAGGAAGAGAAGGGAGAAGGAAGGGAAGGGAAGGGAGAAGGAAGGAAGGAGAGAGAGGGGAGAGAGGGGAGAAAGAGAGAAAGAAAGAGAAAGAAAGAAAGAGAAAAGAAAGTAAGGAAGAAAAGATCGTGCTAAGAACTGTGGGTTTATGCTGAGGGAGTTAGGAGCCATTTTGAAGATTTTGTGCAGAGAAGTGAAATTACCTGACTGACATTTTAAAAGAAGCACTCTGGCTGCTTGCTAAGGAATAATTATATTAATAGGAGGGAAAAGATGGAAGTTGGGAGATTGGCTGGGAGACCATGGCAAGAATCCAAGCCAAGAGGGGATAGTGGCTTCTACCAAGATGGTGGCAGTGGAGGTGAAGAGAAGGGGTCAGATCTGGATGATGGATTAGAAGTGGGTTGCGAGAGAAAGAGCAATCCAGGAGGCTCCAAGGTTTTTGACCTGATCAGTAGGAAGGATAGAGTTTCCATTTGCTCAGAGGGGAAGATTGAGGGAAGAAGAATTAGGGGAAGGCATCAAGAGTCACTGATTCCGTTTGGACCGGTTAAGTTGGACTTGCCTAATAGATACCAACATGGAAATGGCGGATGGGCATCCCCTCATTTTACATGTGGGAAATTGTGGAGCTGAGAGGTAGAGTGGCTTTGCCAGAGTCACATGGTAATTGAGTGGACTAGTTAAAATTTTATTTCAAGTTACTTCGTTTTTAATCCATTAGGTTTCTTACTTACATCAGGTAGAGTGATAGGCACAGAAAATTTACCTAAATCTTATTTCTAACCACGTGTAACTTATTACTGCTATTTATTTTCTACAAAGAAAACTTTTTTCTTTGCTAATTAGAGAACATTATTGATTTTTATGAGACAATACATTGGTTATTTCAGTATTATAAATTATTATCTGGGTGACACTTTTCATATGTAAATAGAAGTCAAAGACGCAGTTTCTTTTTACGTATATGTAATCTGACATTTTAATTATTTTCTATTCCATTTACGGCCAAGTGGCTTTAAGTCCACCAAGAAATCTGAGAATCTCCAATATTGGCTCTAACAGTGCTCGATTAACCTGGGACCCAACTTCAAGACAGATCAATGGTTATCGAATTGTATATAACAATGCAGATGGGACTGAAATCAATGAGGTAAGTTCTGGGACATACTGTATATTTTTTAGGTGGTGGGGTGCTAGTTATTGATGACTACATAACCTATCATCTCAAAGCCTAGTGGCTTAAAATAATAGTAATTATTTATTGTCTCTCATAGTTCCTGTATGTGGGTCAGGAATTGGGGTGTGAATTGCAGTTATCACTGGAGGAGGGGTGCTCCCCAGTGAGGTTAGAGCCAGATAGTGACTGGAGCTGGAGCCATCTCATGGCGTCTTTACTCATGTATCTGGTGCCTGGTCTGGGGAGACTGGAACAGCTGAGATCTGGAGCAGGTCTCCATATCTCTAATTAGACTCTTCGCACAATGCCTTCAGCATGCAGCTTCAGGGGAGTTGGCTCAGGAGTCCCATGACACATGTCCAAAGAGAGAGAGAGCTAAGTAGAAGCTATTCATAACCCAGCCTCTGAAGTCACTTGATATCACCTCTGTCACGCTTCATTGGTATGAGATGTCACCACCTTCACCCAGATTTATAAGTGGGGAGAAACACAGATCCTACCTGTGGTGGGAGACATGTCAGAGGATAGGAGGAGCATATAGAGAAGAAGATATTCACTGATGTGGCCATCTCTGGAAAATGCAGTCTGCCACAGGGGATGGGAGTGGGGAGGGGGTATGTTCATGGAAGCATCGAACTAAAAATAATGTCACTGTTCTCTAGTTTATCCTTCTGCTTTTGAGTAAACTGGCATCTGAAAGGCTCTAGTTAGATGAGCCTAAATTTAGCAAATAATTCGAGTTTTATCTAAGAAGTACTTTCAAATAATGGAACTTGTTAAAACCTAAGATACAGTATCTTGCATGCAGTGACTAATACTTTCAAAAAAGTGTTCCATTGGAAATGTGTTTTAGCAAAACAGCGAGGTTATTTTTATTTTATTTTCCCTTATCTTGGTCCAGTAAGCTAAGACAAAGAGGGAAATATGTTAGATTGCATCATTTCTACTTTCTGACCAAATAAAGCAAGTGTTTTTATATGCAGAGACAAATTTTTTTCTAAAATTAAATCCAAGCAATATTTTACAAAATGCATCCTCATAAGGGACATTGTGTAATGGACAGGCAGTAAGTACACATTTGCTAACATATAGAAATACTGTTCGATATGCTTCATTAAACCTTCGTAAATCTTGAGAGTAAATACTCCTGAAGAGTCTGGTCATTTGGATGAGTTGCTTTGTTTTTGAAGAGAGTAGCCTGGAGCAGTAAAAAGATTGAAATAAAAAAACACTGAGCTATAGGTGTCTCTTTGTCACTGGTAATACATAAACTGCTTTCCCAAGGGTTGTAAATTCAACTGTGTAGGAGGATGAGGCAGATACTGTAAATGATTGAAGCATACCATTAAATCTGTAGAAGCAGACACACCTGCAAAGAAATACTGTCGTGTTTTGCTTGACACATGAGGCTAACTTAGGCTATATATATAATATATAAAAATATATATTATATATAATGTATGTGTATTATATATAATATATATTTATAAATATATAATATATATACATATTTATAAATATTATAAATATGTATAATATATATAAATTTTTGAGATGAAGTCTCGCTTTGTCACCCAGGCTGGAGTGCAGTGGCATGATCTCGGCTCACTGCAACCCCTGCTTTCCAAATTCAAGCGATTCTCTTGGTTCAGCCTCCCAGTAGCTGGGACTACAGGCATGCGCCACTGTGCCCAGCTCATTTTTGTATTTTTAGTAGAGACAGAGTTTCACCATGTTTCTCAGGTTAGTCTCAAACTCCTGACCTCAGACGATCTGCCCGCCTAGGCCTCCCAAAGTGCTGGGATTACAGGCATGAACCACTGCTCCCAGCCTAACTTAGGCTATATTTTGTCTTCCCATTTTGAGGACATGAATGCAGAAGAAATTCTCTACTGAAAGAAAGACAACGAGCAAGACTAATGATAAGTGACAATGGACAGTGGGTTTCAATGACAGGGATACTAGGGACTGGTGTGATGGGAAGTGTGCGCATCTAAGATGCAGCCAGTCTCAGCTTCTACTGATTGCTGCTGGATAGAAATCCAGGCATGGGCTGCCAGATCTTAAGACTCTTGGAGAGATACCACTGCTTTCTATTTTTATATAAAACCTACCAATTTAAAAGAGTTGACTCATTGAACAACAAAAGTAACACCTCTATATTCACCAGTAAATATTTGTTCATTGTAGAGCATCCTCCTTTGGTAATAATTTTTAATAAAACAAAAACAAACTTTCTTATATATCCATTACATTTATAATATAATTATATAATAATGATTATAACCATGTCTTAGTCCATTTGGTTTTCTGTAACAAAATACCTTGCCTGGGGAAGTTTTGTTTATTTATTTATTTAGAGACAGGGTCTCTGTTGCCTAGGTTGAAGTGCTGTAGTGTGATCATGTCTCACTGCATCCTCAACCTTGCAGGCTCAGGTGATCCTCCCACCTCAGCCTCCCGAGTAACTGGGACTACAGGCACATGCCACCATGCCTAGCTAATTTTTGTACAGACCAGGTTTTGCCATGTGGTCCAGGCTGGTCTCAAACTCCTGGGCTCAAGGGATTTGTCTGCCTTGGCCTCCCGAAGTGCTGGAATTACAGGAGTGAGGCACTGTGCCCAGCTTGGGAAACTTATCAATGGCAGAAATTTATTGTTCACAGTTCTGGAAGCTGAGAAGTCTAAGATCAAGGCACCTGCACCTGAATTTGCAGGTGTATTCCTCATAGTTGGAGTTTTCTACCTATGTTCTTACCTGGTGGAAGGAGCAGACAAGCTCCCATGGGCCTCTCTAATAGGGGCCTTCCTCCCTCATGACCTAATCATCTCTCAAAGACCCCATCTCTTAATACTACTGCATTGGGGATCAGGTACCAACATATGAATCTGCAGGGGGACACAACCTTCCAGACCATAGCAGCTGCTGTAGCTTCTTCTACTATTTTCTGTTATTTATCTTTGCAGAGTATAGCCCCAGACTAACATATTTGTTGAGAACATATGTTTGGGGGTTTTTTGGTAGTGTTTTTCAGTCTTGGGGAAGCTGCTAGCATTTGCTGTTTCTGGGAAATTAGAAAGCTATATTTGGTAAAACCGAACTTAAAATGTGAGAAAATGGGCTATGAATGAAGATTTGAGAAAATTTCATGTGAGTAAAATGCATGAGCCATGCATGGATTTTGTAACACCAGTTTTGACTAGGGGGTGTGTGGGTGTGTGTGTGTGTTTCTTATTTCTTAATTCATAGCCATGCTATAGACACTTGAGGTTGCTGGATAAGTATCTTTTACTGAAGTATTACTGTACCTAACTTTAGAATGTATAATTTTAAGGATGAATATTTTTATTAGATTTTGCTTTAATTTCTATGAATTTAAGCTTCTATTTATAGACAATGCAACAATTTTTTCTTTTTTTTTTTTTTTTTTTGAGACAGAGTCTCGCTCTGTCACCCAGTATAGAGTGCAGTGGCACGATCTCAGCTCACTGCAAGCTCAGCCTCCTGGGTTCATGCCATTCTTCTGCCTCAGCCTCCCAAGTAGCTGGGACTACAGGCGCCTACCACCATGCCTGGCTAATTTTTTGTAATTTTAGTAGAGACGGGGTTTCACCATGTTGACCAGGATGGTCTTGATCTCTTGAGCTCGTGATCTGCCCACCTCGGCCTCCCAAAGTGCTGGGATTACAGGTGTGAGCCACTGTGCCAGGCCCATGCAATTGATTATTAACACTTTTGCTTTACACTCAATATTTTCTGCTTCATTTCCTCTCATCTTCCTTCTCTCACTTCCTCTTCCTCCCTCTGTATCTTTTCTGCATTACCCCTCTCCCCAACTTTTTGGAGACCAGGAAGACAAATGAAACAAGTATTTCAACAAATGTCCATGCTGCTGCTGACGATGATGATGATAATGATGGTGATGATGGTGATGATGATGATGGTGATGATGGTAATGGTGATGATGATGATAATGATGGTGATGATGGTGATGATGATGGTGGTGATGATGGTGATGGTGATGATGATGATGGTGATGATGTTGATGATGACGGTGATGATGATGATAATGATGGTGATGATGGTGATGATGATGATGGTGATGATGGTAATGGTGATGATGATGATAATGATGGTGATGATGGTGGTGATGATGGTGATGGTGATGATGATGATGGTGATGATGTTGATGATGACGGTGATGATGATGATGATAATGATGGTGATGATTATAATGGTGGCTAACATTTGTTGAGTGCTTCCCATGAGCCAGGCACTGTTCTGAGTGCTCTAAACCTCATGTAATCCTTATAGAACCAAATGCTGACAAAGTATGACTTATCAAACTATGGACAGAAGTCACCTCAGGTAGCATTTACTGTGAAAGGATTTTGGAAGTACGCAAACATGATGGAGAATTAAGTGCTGCCATTTGAGTTTTATAAATGCAAAGGCCACAGTTTTTGGACTTTGAGAGTCCAGTTCCTAGTAGCAGTGACTCAGCAGTAGAGCCTGGAGTTGAGCCCAAATCCCTTGTTCCTCATCAGGGCCTTTTTCTACATCCCTTCCAAAATTAGGCTGAAGTTAAACTTTTAGCTAGACTGATTGAGGATATTTCTCAGAAATAGTTGCATAACAATGAGATCATGGTTATTTGTTATTATTTCCTCAAATTTTTCTTCTACATCTTAAAATACTACCAGCAAAATCAGTTCTGGGACTAATCATTTAAAGCATGATATTTTAACTAATATAAATAAATGATACCTAAAGGCCTTTATTTGATGAAATAAAATAATCAATGCTGAAATTATATAAAATATAGTCTATTCAGCATCAAATATTTAATAAACGAGATCCTTTTTAACAGATACACACACACACACACACACATACACATACACACTTCTTTTTTTAGTCCTTTCTCCTGTTTGGTGGACCTAAGAATCCAGTACCTAGATTTTAACTGCTTTTGTGTATGTTTGATATCTTTGCAAAATTCCTATTTGTCATAGATTCGAAACTTAGAAACAAGGTCAAGGCCTAACTGGACATTCCAGTTAATAATTTTATGGCTCAGGGCATGTTAGTTAAGCTGTTTGGGCCTAGATTTTCCTTTGGAAAATAGTTGTAAAAGCACCTAGGGTTTGGTGGGTGAAGGTGGGTGGGGGAGACTCTAAATAAGACAATGAGTATCAAGTCCCTGACTCTGTAAGTGCTCAATAAATCTCAGCCATGACAATTCAGAACAACAGAAAGCAATATGTAACTAGAGGTTAGGAAAGTATGTCTTGAACTCACATTTTTTAACATGGGTTTGTATTTTCTGTGAGCTTAAATAATGAAGCCATACTTTAAATAGTGTTTAAGAACATATGATTTAGAGCCTGAAACACCTGTGTTTAAGACCTATGTACTAGCTGTTTTCCCCTTGGGCAAGTTCCTTAATTTTTGGAATCTCATTTTTCCATTTTCAAATGGGGAGTAATAATTAGCTCCCCCACAGGATTGTGATAAGGATTAAATAAGTGAATACATATAAAGCATGCAGATAGTTCACAGGCTGCAGTAAACAGTAAGTGCTAAAAATGACCTATAATGTTATCAATCCCTGATTTAGAAGAAGATAATCCATACTTTCAATTAACCGTTGCTGTGTAACCAACACTGCAACTTAAAATACAGCCTAGGAGCATGCAACTTGGGCAGAACACAGCAGGGACAGCTGGACTCTGCCATGTGGCGTCAGCTGGGGTGATTCATGCATTCATCTGGGAATCTGACTGGACCAGAACTTCTAGGATGACTTCATGTCCGTGTGTGACCCCTCAACTAGAGTGTCTGGGAAGGCTGGGATTCGCTGGCCTTCTCCAGAAGAGTGGCCCAGTACAGCACAATGGTACAGTACAATGACAGCTCTTTTTTTCCAGGGTTGGCACTCTTTTTTGACCTACAGAGGTGTAGATTCTTTAGAGGTGCGTATGGCTTCTGTTCTGGCCCTTAGTTTAGAGAAGACCTTTCTCACCTCTTTTAAGAAATAGTTTTTTTGGTGCCTTCATCTTCATTTTAATTTACTTATTCTATTCACTCAAAAAATATAATCCAACATACAGTGGTGAAGAAGCTAAACAAGTTCTTGCCTTCAAGGAGTTTATACTCTATGCAGGAGATAGACAATAAACATGTAGGTAAATGAAGTAATTTCACATTGCCACTGGTGCCAAGGAGGAAACAACAAGGCCAGTGTCAGTGAATAACCCCACTTATAGGTGGAAACATAGGTGGAAAAAGAACCCTCCTCTGAGGAGGTTCTAGTTAAGCATAGTCATGATAGAGGAAGAAGGCCTAATTTTGACAAGAGCTGGAGAATGGGGTCACAGACAGAGTGAACTGCATGTGCTAAGGCCCTGAGGTGGGAAAGGCAAGGACCTGAAAGGAGGCCAGTGTGGCTGGAGCCCAACAGGCCACTGGAGTATGGCAGAAAGAAAAGGTGCTGCCCCAGATTATGAAGGCCATGAGGTATCTCAGGGTGCTTGGTTTTGATTCAGAGTGCAATAGATAGCCAATGAAGGTTTAAGTAGGGAGGTGACATTTTATATTTTGCTAAAGGTTACTTTGCCATGAGCAGACACATATAGTGTTGAGCTTAGTGACCTTCCCCTGAACCTCAGGTAGCATCAGGATTAGTCACTGATAGTACCATACATAAGAGATCTTGGCTGGGTGCAGTGGCTCACACTTATAGTCCCAGCACTTTGGGAGGCCGAGGTGGGTGGATCACTAGAGGCCAGGAGTTTGAGACCAGCCTGGCCAACATGCTGAAACTGTGTCTCTACTAAAAATAAAAAATTAGCCGGACCTGGTGGTGCACGCCTGTAATCCCAGCTACCTGGGAGGCTGAGACAAAACAATAGCTTGAACCCTGGAGACAGAGGTTATGGTAAGCCAAGATCATGCCACTGTACTCCCTCCTGGGTGACAAGAGCAAGAACCTGTCTCCAAAAAACAACAACAGAAAAAATGATCTTATTGCTCTGCTCAAATATCTCATGAGAACATTTTAAGCAGAGCTTATTTTTTGGCAGAGGTTGCTCTCAGGTAAATATGGTCATTTCTTAAATTTTCCAGAGTATCACCACAGTGGGGGCACCTCATTATGCATTATTATAAGTGCTTGTGAGGATTAACAGAGAATATATGTGAAACACCTAGGTGTGGGCCCCATATACGTGGTCTACAATATGCACCCTGTACTGTGCAGCGCTGTAGCCCCATGCCCAACCCCTCAGTGACAAAGCTTCATCTGTTCTTGTTCTTTCTCTTGCCTTGAGGGTGCCTTGTAGACCCTGCCCTCATCTCCTTTTTTTTTTTTTTTTTTTTTTGAGACAGAGTCTCACTCTGTCACCCAGGCAGGAGTGCAGTGGCATGATCTCAGCTCGCTGTGACCTCTGCCACCCTGGTTCAAGTGATTCTCCTGCCTCCGCCTCCTAAGTAGCTGGGATTACAGGTGCGCACCACCACGCCCAGCTAATTTTTAAATTTTTCGTAGAGATGGGGTTTCTCCATGTTGACCAGGTTGATCTTGAACTCCCAACCTCAAGTGATCCACCTGCCTTGGCCTCCCAAAGTGCTGGGATTACAGGCGTGAGCCACCATGCCTGACCCACCCATCTCCTCTTACTTTATGGTTTCTTTTTTCAATGTATGTTTTTTGTTGTCAAGTTCTCTTTTCTAATCTTTAATTTTTCTTACACCCTTGATCTCTATTCCTTGGGATTTCATCTTTTATATGCCCCAAAGAAGTTGAAAAATATTTTCACCAAATATGTCTTTCTGTGGAAGATAGAGTAATGTTTCAAATATTTACTATTTTCTTTAGTATTAATGTTCCCCAGTTCTTTCCCAGCATTGTTGCTCACCTGTACGACTCTTATAGGAGTTATCATGAATTACTTAGCTATGGGGCCAGCAGAGCCCAGGCAGTGAAGCAAAAAACTGATTGCTACTAGCAGATCTAACTGGAAACATTATCTGTATTTATGTCCGCCTCTTAAGTTGTCTGTACTTTGTGTCTGGAATGAATGGAAAGAATATTGATTGCAAAGTTGTCCTGAGAATTAACTGGTGGGTTATCTAAGGGTATAAGATCAGAAATGTTCATACATAAACTGTCTGGTTTTATAATTCAATAATTTGTTTTATAGTGTTTATAACTTTGCTGTCAGCTAAGCGAGCTACAGACAGTAATAAAATGATTCCTGTACTTAGAGAGCATTAGATAGAGCTGTTATTATGACTTCTTTCTTTGACAGGTTGAAGTTGATCCTATTACTACCTTCCCTCTGAAGGGCTTGACACCTCTCACAGAGTATACTGTTGCTATTTTCTCCATCTATGATGAAGGACAGTCAGAGCCTCTGACTGGGGTTTTTACCACCGGTAAGCAGCCTCATTGTGGTTTGAAAAGTTTCGAGAATAGCTATTAATATATAGAAACCAGAACCCAGAGCACCTTCTTTATTTGTGATTTTGAAGAGATTGAATTTTAAGTTTGATTTCTTTTATGTTATCATTAAAAAATAAACAACCAGATGACTAATGTGTGTACTGGCTAGTTATTTTTTATCAAAGCAAGGATGAGAGAGAAAAGACCACCTAAATTCAAAAGGTCCGTTGTTTAAAAAATGTATGTTTTTCTCTTCCTAATCTTATTCCTTTTACTTTCATTCCTTAGTTAAAACTTCTACATCCTTCTTCCATTCAAATGAGTGTGTGTATTAGGTTGAATTTCCAAAATTGCTGATAGCCAACAGTTTTTGACCTACAAAAATGACAGTCTCATACTATTGAGCTCAATATATCAGTCAATGATTTTCCTGGAGCCTGAAATCTTCATATAATAATAAGTAATATTTTAAACCCTAAAATTAAATGTAAGACATGTATACATTATTTTTCTTTTCTATATGTATCCTGTAGCCACTTTTTGTCTCTTGGTGGCAACAATTCTGTTATTTGCTTTCTGAACTTACCATTGATTGCACTTGGAAACAAATGTAGTCTTTACTGGGAAGATGAGAAGGTGATTTGGAGAGAGATGAAAAAGAAGCTGGATTGAGAAATAATGTTCGTGGAAAAATTCAGTAATTTAACCAAATCTCCAGAAGGCTAATTCTAGTTGGGATTCTCATGGTGTCCTATCAAAAAGTTGTGTTTTTGTTGTTTTTTTTTTTTTTTTTTTTTTAAGAAAAACTCTGGCTTCAAATAATAAAAACCAATTCTTTGACAATTTATTTTGGGTGCAGTTGGGTGTTATACTTTCTGTTGTACATCCCAGAAGTGTATAAGCTCTGAAACAGTGGAAGGCCTGATTAATTCTGTTTCATTTCTGATGACCACCATATGCACAAGTTAAAAGATTGAAGGTTCTTTTCCAGGATTAATATTAGGGAGCGATTTAGCTACTAAAGCAAAAAGAACTAAAAGGGAAGCTTTCTTAGGCCCCTAGAGGACTATTTTGTTAATTTCCTCAAGATACTTGGAAAATAATATTTTTTAAAAAATGAATATGCCACTCTTGTTTTTTATAGTTAATGAAAACAGCCAAATAGAAAAGCTAAGAGTTTTAGAAATTACTGGAAAAGTTTTAAGATCTGTTATTTCCATGGTTTCCCTAATTTATGATATTGGTGAATGCTGGAAACAGAAATGGAAGGCCACCCTGGACTGATGGGCCCTGGTTTTCCTTCTTCCCTGTGCTTTCCTAAAGCAAAAGATTCCTCAAAGAGTCTTCTACACCCCTGGGAGATACTTGGGTTTGGCTTTCTTGCCTTCTCATTTCCCTAACAAAATCTCCTTCCTTGGTTTACAGAGGAAGTTCCAGCCCAGCAATACTTAGAAATTGATGAGGTGACGACAGACAGTTTTAGGGTGACCTGGCATCCCCTCTCAGCTGATGAAGGGCTACACAAATTGATGTGGATTCCAGTCTATGGGGGGAAGACCGAGGAGGTGAGTTGACTGAAACAGACTGAAAATTAATCCGGAGCATTAGTGAATACCTACTGCTGCTGGAGTTGGTCTTCACTTTAAAATATATTAAGAATCACAGAAGTAATTAGTATTTTACATGGCTTGGAGTTTTAGAAATGTCAAATCATATGATTTTCCTAATATTATGATATATTGTTGCCAGAGCTTTAGTTATATACTTTATATATTTTCAGATTCTTTGACTTTAACAAATGACATTTAATACAACTGTAAAATGTCACTTTTCCAATATTAATAACTTATTTGCTGAGGGGATTGAAAGGAATAAAGTCTCTGACTTGACCTTAAAATGGACTTCGACAGCCTTGGAGTTCTTTATGGTTGGTTGTTTCTTGCTTATGCTCAGAATAACACTTTTTCTTTTCTTTCTTTTTTTTTTTTTTCAAATAAGCGTAGTTACTAAGCACCAAAATACATTTCAGGTTGTCCTGAGAGAAGAACAGGACTCACATGTTATTGAAGGCTTGGAGCCCGGTACGGAGTATGAAGTTTCACTATTGGCCGTACTTGATGATGGAAGCGAGAGTGAGGTGGTGACTGCTGTGGGGACCACACGTAAGTCTTGGTCTGGCCACGATGCGTTTCAGCTGCTCCCACAATCCCTCTTTACCCCATCAATTTCCTTCCCCATCTGCTTTATCCTTGGCTATGGAAACTTCAGCTTCTCTTTTTCCCCCAGAATTCTTCATATATCTTCACCTTCAATGAAACCAGTATGTGAAGTATCTTAGCTTCCTAGATAATGATCAACATGAAGGCAGGGACCACATCTGTCTTGCTCACCATTGTATTTTCCAGGACTTAGCACGGTACTTGGCACATGTTAACTGTAGAATAAATACCCATAGAATGGATGGATGGGTGGATAGGTGAATGGATGTATGTATGAGTGGATAAAATAATTCACAAATGAATAGATTGCCAAACAAATAAACCTAGGGCCAACATGTCAAAGAGTTTCTGGAATTTTCCAAGTTGATTTTGGTTCCAAGAATCTTGTACAAAATTTACTCGCTGATTCATTCATCTCTTCATTTTTAAAATATGAGGTATTGACCACATATTAAATTGCCTTAGCCTGGGTTCCCTGGAACCAGATTCTAGACAGAAAATTGCAGCCAGAAAGTTTATTGAAGAGTGCAGTTGGGAGATGCTTATGTAAAAACCTGAGGACAGCAGGACAGGACATGGGAAGAAGTTGAAACTGAACCCTCAGCTAATCTTATTATAACGGAGGTCTAATGCTGGGGTGACCCTTCTGAGTTGTCCCAAATAGAGGCAAAGGGGCTGAGACTTCATACTCTTGCATCCCCAGTAGCTGGAGGTGAGCCATTCCCTGACAGAGGCCATGAACTCAGGCGAGACAGTTCTCAGAGCTGTGAACTGTTGGCAGGCAGTGTTCCAGCACCAGGTGAATGGGTGTGTTGACCCTAAAAAGAGGATCTTCATCTCTGTACTTCATTCTGCTGTATGCCCATGGTGGCTGTAAGAAATAGAAGATGCACTGCTTGTCCAAGCACATTGCACTCCGTGGTGGTCCTGTTTGGCAGCCTTTTCACAACTTGGTCTACAACACTGTCTAATTTCCCTTAATTACCACGGCTATGCCCCTATTTCAAAGTAATTGGGTGGTTTCACAATTCTGTAGATGTAGTTCAAATGTTTATGTGAAGCCTGGTATCTGTGATGAGAAACTTTAACATTCTTCGGATTTCAGTCTTCCTATCTGTGGAACAGGTATGTCTGCCTTACTTACAATTCACTTCTTTGGTCTTCTAACCATAGTCATGTTTGTTGTGGGAGGCAAGTGAGATAATATAGGTGAAATGTTCTTTGAAAGCTACAAAATGCTATATAAAAATGGACAGTTATTATTTTTACAGCATTTTTAAGTAATATATTGCTTTTAGTTGACAGTTTTTGGACAGAACCAGCTACAACCATGGTGCCTACCACACCTGTGACGTCAGGTAAGGTCAAATAGTAGCCTGTTTACCCACTTTAAAATTTTTATTTAAACAGATGTTATGTTATCCTGGTTTTATTTATTATTAAATAGGAAAACAGATGACCCTCCCTTCCTTTTCTGGCACACTGGTTCAAATTTCACACCTCTCAGAGCCTCTCAACATCTTCCTTGCCACTGTGGATCTCCTAGTCAACTGATCTCACTGATATATCACTCTACTTCTTTCATCTTTGCCTTGGATGCTCATGCACCTTACCTGGAATGTTAACATAGCTGCCTCCCCAGGGGTCTTTGCCTTCCTCTTTATCTCAGTGACTTCTGTTGCTCTCTGTTGAGAATTCCTCTTCTTTTCTCTTTTTTTCTTTTAGAGATAGAGTTTCACTCTGTCATCCAGCCTGGAGTGCAGTGGCATGATCAAGGCTCACCACAGCCTTGACTTCCTGGGCTCATGCGATCCTCCTGCCTCATCCCCCCAGGTAGCTAGGACTACAGGCATGTGCCACCATGCCTGGCTAATTGTTTTGAATTTTAGTAGAGGTGAGGTCTTTCCTGCCATATTGCCCAGGCTGGTCTTTAACTCCTGAGATCAAATGTTCCTTCTTCCTTGGCCTCCCAAAATTCTGGAATTATAGGCATGAGCCACCATGCCTGGTCTTGTTGAGAATTACTCTTATCATGTTTTCCTTGCATTTCTGTGGGTAACTGAGACTTGGCTGGTCTATTGTTTTTCCTACATTAGTTGTTTCCTCTCTCAGCTTAGCTTTCCCTTTCACTGTAATATACCTCCCAACTAGCTGTCAGAGTCAACTTGGTAAAACACAAGTTTGATAATATCATTTATTTACTTCTGTAAGACACTTCAGTGGCTCTCCATTACCCATTCGTTGATTCATTCATTCCTCAATTAATCCTTATCAAGCCTTCTTTGTGCTCTGAAGTCTTTTTCGTAGCATCCAAGATCCTTCCTAGTTAGGTCCTGCTTCCCTTCCTGGCCTCAACCATATTTCCTATGCTTCCCCCATTTTTCTCTTTCCATCCCAAACTCCTTGCCCTGAATGTGAGAAGTTTCCTCCCATTCCCATTGCCTGGTAACCCCCCTGCAATGTTGCCAGGTAAATGTCAATCTCCTACCTCCCCTGTGACACTTTTACTATTTTTGTTGAGTTAGTAACTGTATGAAAACCAAAGCCCTAACAGTCTGACACACAGAAAAAGTTCAATGAATATTTTGTAAATGAATTAATACATGAATGAAGAGAAAGGAGAATGAGATGAGATGGACAAAGGGAAATGAAGTTGGGAGTAGAAGAGAAAAGAAAAAAAAATGTGACAAATAAGGGAGCAGACACCTTGAGATGAGCATGAATGTGCCAGGAAACATGGGTAAAGGAGTTTGGACAAGTATCAGAGAAAAGATCGTGTCTGTGTGGGCTGAATGGATAAAGGCAGCCTGAGTGCAGATTTGTGCTTTGAATGGCAAGTGTTAAAACAGAAATGGGGGCTAGGGCAGGTGATTGTGATGTGTGTTGGATGCTAGATTGCACACAGAGGTGGACAAGATCTGGCCCACTGTGCCCACATGTCCACAGAGCACTAGTGTGAGGTTTTCATGACCACACTTTCCTTTGGGTTCCATGGGCTGTTTTTCTAGTCTCAGGGCTTCTTCCCAGTTCTTTTTACTAGTGCATATACAGAACTGACAGTTTTGAGAGCTCCATGGTCTCATCTTGTAAGCATCTCTTAATCCCACTTTTATTTGCTGCTAGTAGGTATCTTGCCTCCCCATTAAGCACCATAGCTGAGCTCTTCTCGCCTCATATACATCTATATTACAGGGATACATTAAATGATGCTTGCTGTTACCCCACAGGTAGTCTCTGTGGCTCATTTTGGAATATGATGGGTTAAAAGTTTTTAAATCTTTGGTTGTGTTTATTCCAGTTTTCCAGACGGGAATCAGAAACCTGGTTGTAGGTGATGAAACCACTTCTAGCCTGCGGGTAAAATGGGACATTTCTGACAGCGATGTGCAGCAGTTTAGGGTGACCTACCTGACAGTTCAAGGGGACCCCGAGGAAGAAGTGGTAGGAACGGTCTGTACAAATTCAACTGACTAGAAACTCTGCAGATGTTACTAACACAACTAACAAGACTGTCTTTGGAGATCAATGCAAACTTTACTGCTCGTTTCTTAGTGAGTCTGCCATCTCCAGAAACTAATGTTTCCTGTTAATCTGACTCCACTACTGGCTTCTTAGTGACCTTTATATATTCCAAAACTTGCTCCATGTACAACTTGCTTTAAGTTAATAACCTCTGAACATTGTTTCAAATGTTGCTTCTCTTCTGCTGCCTCAATCACCTGTTCAAGCACCAAAGTTGGATCATAAAAGGCCATATGCACTTGTATCTGTATATATGTATGTATAGATATGTGTAAAAGTTTAATATAGAAAGTAATTTCTTCTGCCCTTGGAAATCTGATAAAAAAAACTTTTAAGCAAAGGACACAGAAAAGGTCTTCTATATGGTATACTGAAAATATTCTTAATAAAATACCATCCATTAACTAATAGTTATATTTTTCATTGATGTCAATTCATATTGAGCAGATTTATAGTCATTTCTAATTATTCTTAACATGGGTGTATCCCCTCAGGGATTTAGATTTTTATACATTGAGTTTTCTTTGAGTTGTTTTATCTATCTTTCCTTTTTCTAAATGATACACTGTTTTTTTCTAATTTGTTTATCATTATTATTACTATTTTTATTATACTTAAGTTCTGGGATACATGTGCAGAATACACAGGTTTTTACATAGGTATGCATGGTCCATGGTGGTTTGCTGCACCCATCAACCTGTCATCTACATTAGGTATTTCTCCTAATGCTATCCCTTTCCTTGCTCCACATCCCCCAACAGGCCCCAGTGTGTGCTGTTCCCCTCCCTGTGTCCATGTGTTCTCATTGTTCAGTTCCCACTTATGAGTGAGAACGTGCGGTGTTTGGTTGCCTGTTCCTGTGATAGTTTGCTGAGAATGATGGTTTCCAGCTTCATCCATGTCTCTACAAAGGACATGAACTCATCCTTTTTTATGACTGCATAGTATTCCGTGGTGTATATGTGCCACATTTTCTTTATCCAGTCTGTCATTGATGGGCCTCTGGGTTGGTTCCAAGTCTTTGCTATTGTGAATAGTGCTGCAATAAACATGTGTGGATGTATCGTTATAGTAGAATGATTTATAATGCTTTGGGTATATGCCCAGTAGTGGGATTGCGGGGTCAAATGGTATTTCTGGTTCTAGATCCTCCAGGAATCGTGACACTGTCTTCCACAATGGTTGAAGTAATTTACAGTCTCACCAACAGTGTAAAAGTGTTCCTGTTTCTCCACTTCCTCTCTAGCATCTGTTGTTTCCTGACTTTTTAGTGATTGCCATTCTAACTGTCATGAGATGATATCTCATTGTGGTTTTGATTTGAGTTTCTCTAATGACCAATGATGAAGAGCTTTTTTTTTTTTTTTGTATGTTTGTTGGCTACACAAATGTATTCTTTTGAAAAGTGTCTGTTAATATCCTTCTCCCACTTTTTTATGGGGTTGTTTTTTGTTTTGTAAATTTGTTTAAGTTCCTTGTAGATTCTGGATATTAGCCCTCTGTCAGATGAATAAATTGCAAAATTTTTCTCCCATTCTGTAGGTTGCCTGTTCGCTCTGATGATAGTTTCCTTTGCTGTGCAGAAGCTCTTTAGTTTAATTAGATCCATTTGTCTATTTTGGCTTTTGTTGCAATTGCTTTTGGTGTTTCAGTCATGAAGTCTTTGCCCATGCCTCTGTCCTGAATGGTATTGCCTAGGTTTTCTTGCAGGATTTTTATGGTTTTAGGTCTCTTGTTTAAATCTTTAATCCATCTTGAGTTCATTTTTGTATAAGGTGTAAGAAAGGAGTCCAGTTTCAGTTTTCTTCCTATGGCTAGCCAGGTTTCCCAGGACTATTTATCAAATAGGGAATCCTCTCTCCATTGCTTGTTTTTTTTTTTCAAGTTTGTCAAAGATCAGATGGTTGTAGATGTGCGGTGTTATTTCTGAGGTCTCTGTTCTGTTCCATTGGTTTATATATCTGTTTTGGTACCAATACTAAGCTGTTTTGGGTACTGTAGCCTTGTACTATAGTTTGAAGTCAGATAGTGTAATGCCTCCAGCTTTGTTCTTTTTGCTTAGGATTTTCTTGGCTATATGGGCTCTTTTTTGGTTCTATGTGAAATTTAAAGTAGTTTTTTCTAATTCTGTGAAAAAAGTCAATGGTAGCTTGATGGGAATAACATTGAATCTATAAATTACTTTGGGCAATATGGCCATTTTTATGATATTGATTCTTCCTATACATGAGCATGGAATGTTTTTCCATTTGCTTGTGTCCTCTCTTGTTTCCTTGAGCAGGTGGTTTGTAGTTCTCCTTGAAGAGGTCCTTGACATCCCTTGTAAGTTGGATTCCTAGGTATTTTATTCTCTTTGTAGCAATTGTGAATAGAAGTTCGCTCATGATTTGGCTCTCCGTTTGTCTATTATTGGTGTATGGGAATCCTTGTGACTTTTGCAATTGATTTTGTATCCTGAGACTTTGCTGAAGTTGCTTATCAGCTTAAGGAGATTT